GCGAGAGGCGGGGCAAGTCGAGATTAAGGTTGATGATGAGCGAGGACCATGACTCTGGGAGTAAGGCCAGCAACTTGGTCTTCTTTTGGAGCTCACCGTAGTTCAAATCAGCTCCCTCAAGCCGCGTCAACAAGTCGAAGAATTTCTGCACCCCTTCTTCAACCGCTTCGTCTTCTTCAATTCGTAGTGCCGCCATTTGCCGTTCCAACACCACCGCTACAGCCGCTGTTGCAGGAGCATGTACACCCTTGAGAGCAGCCCATGCCTTTGGTCCTTTCTCTGGTTCACGCTGGAATGGCTTGATGTGACGGATCTGACTGCTCCCCAACGCTTGCCCAAGTAAGAGATAGCCTTGTGCGCTCTTCCGCACCCACGGGCTCTTCTCCGGGTCGTTCTCGGGGCGCTTCTCCGTTCCTTCCATCACCTCCAGCAGGTCATAGTGGTCAAAGATGTTCTCCATCTTGAAGGACCATTCAGCAAAGTTGTCACCGTTGAACTTGTCAAGCCCAAACACCCTAGGCTCATCCCTAGGTGGGCCAAGACTTGGTTGCATGGGCGCCATGGCTGAATCACGGGGTTGGCCTTGAGCTTGAGCTTCTCCACTGCCACCAGCACCTCTGCCACCCCTTTCCTCAGGTCCAGACATTGTCGAAACTGCTCCAAGGGGCTCTGATACCACTTGTTATAGTCACAATAGGCTTGAATGTGCCTAAAACGAAAGATAGAGAGCACAGACGGATTTCTGCACAGCGGCTTCAAACGTTGATAGCGTTCTGCTCACAGCTGCAAATGACTTGATTCAAATTGGATCTGGAGCGTCTTCACGTCGTCTACAATTAGCAATTTAGATTGCACGATTTGATAAAGAATTGACGACACAGCGTCGGTTTGAACGAACGGTACTATGGCAGCCACTATAGTCTTAGAACACAAGATAGGAAGAGTTACGAGTTGGGAATGACTCCCAGCTCCTACAAACCCCAAGAGCCGAGGTACAGTGATGTGGAACAGTGCCACACTGTCCCCAACCACGAAGGGTCTCGAAACTACCCTTCACTAGGGCCTACACCAAGTGAAATGTTACACTACACAAAGTAATGTAACTATCTTCAATATCTTGAGGTGCACCCTTTTGGCGAGCTTCGAAATCACTTGAGGCTTGACACCAAGGCTCGGGCTCTTCATCACAAACTCATCCTTGAGTTCTTGATGGGTCTGCTGCACACACCTGCGACACGCTGAACGTTCGACACAGGACAAAATAGAAACCGCGCACGGCAAAATAGAAACCGCGCGCGAGACACAAACGACCGCGTAACACGCGTCTAGCGATAACTCGCTATTGACTCGACACACACACTCGACATCATGACTCAACATTCACACACAATTATAAGCATGAAATATATATTATCCCATGCCCTCATACCATTCCATACACACACACATTCACGCACACGGACAACAAGCCGAGTGCAAACCGTAGGGTTGCACCAACATCTCACTCATACCTCTTCCTCTCTCTTCTCCCTCTTACCTCTTCCTTTCATTCCCCATCCCTCCTTCTTTTACCTCGATCGCTTCTCTCGTTCTTAATTTGTTCCTCTTCCTTTCTCACCCCTCTTTCTCTCGTATCCTTCTCGTGCTGACTCGCAGATTCAATCCCAAGTCGTTTGCGGCTCGGTTTGTGGGCCAAGCGGTTGCTATAGCGGGTGACAGCACCGGACAGTACCTTTACCAATCACTGCGATGCCGCATTAGCCAACACTACACTACAGAGGTAAGTGTTGAACGTATAGAAACAAACCCCAAATAGTAACAACCATCGAATCTCTAAAAAGCAATCCACATCAAAAAGTGTACACTGTACAGAGAGCGACTGTAAATCGTCATGCTTTGTTCGAGAAAGGGTGTCGTGGTAATCCTACATGTTACCCTGTTTATAATCCTATATTCAATTGCAGGACTGGGATCCGAAACTAGCTGGGTGGACGGGCCAGGGCTTTAAGGTGAAGCTGCTGGGCACACGAGTCATTCTGGTGGACACTCCCTTCCTCATGGAGGCATGGCCGGATGTGGAGGTGAGAATTGCTGCTGTGGAGCATGGTGAATGGTATAGTGCATGAACGTGGTGCATGGTGAATGGTATAGTGCATAAACATGGTGCATGGTAGGGCACATGGTGTCATTCCAATGGACACTCCCTTCCTCATGGAGGCATGGCCTGATGTGGAGGTGAGAGTGAATGGAGGCGGGATTTTCTGCTATGGCGCATGGTGAATGGCATGGCGCATAAAGGAGCAGGGCACACGGTGTGTGGGTCATTCTGGTGGACACTCCCTTCCTCATGGAGGCATGGCCGGATGTGGAGGTGAGCGTTGCATGGTGCATGGTGCTCCAGTGCTCCTACGGGGCGTGAAGCAGCATGCCACATGGCATGTGGGCATGCTCCGTTCCTCATGGAGGCATGGCCGGATGTGGAGGTGAGCGTTGCAGGACGTTCCTATGGAATGAGCGTTGCTATGGTGCGGCGTGATGGGTATGGAGCACTGCAGCACGTATGGCTGGCTGCCAGCTGCCTTTTGAGTCGACTCAAAAGTCTCCTATGGAATGAATGAGCGGCGTGATGGGTATGGAGCACTGCAGCACGTAGTATGGCGGCCAGCTCAGAGCCGCTCAGCTCTCTAGCCTGCCGTAATACACCATACCGATGGTATATTATAAGTGCTGCGGCCGGGTGGACATCTCCATACTGATGGTAAGCTCTTAGTAGATGATATCCTCTCGGCCGATGGTATGGAGTACTGCAGCAATGGTATGGTATGGCTGCCATGGTGCTCCGCTTCTCATGTCGGGGCATGGCCGGATATGTAGGCTCTCTGACCCCTGCCCTCTCCCCTGTGCCCTCTGCCCTCTGCCCTCTGATATATCCCCCTCTTCCCACTCCCCCCTCTCTCCCCTCTTCTCCACAGGGTGAGTCCAAGTCCTCTCACCTCTGGCACATGCAACTGGGCACAATCAACCACAAGATCCTCGAGATGCTGTCCAATATCCCCCAGCTTAAAGCCTCTCCTCCTCTCTTCTCTTCTATTGCTCTCTCTCTCTCTCTCTCTACTCCTCCCGTCCCTCAGGGCGAATCTAAAGCCTCGCACTTCTGGCACGTGCAGCTGGGCACCATCAGCCTCAAGATCCTCGAGATGCTCCCCCCTTGTTTCCAGGCTTAAGCATCCTCTCTCCTCTGCTCTTCTCTCTACTCCTCCCGTCCCTCAGGGCGAGTCCAAGGCCTCTCACCTCTGGCACGTGCAGCTGGGCACAATCAACCACAAGATTCTCGAGATGCTGCCTAAAATCCCCCAGCTTAAATCCCCGATTCTCGTTGCCAGCAATTACTTTTTACCCCAGCCAGCCACTACCACCAGCAGCGTCAACAACAGCGCGTACAGCAGCTATATCAGCAATCAGAGGATTTATTACTCCCAGGGAAAGCCGCTTTCGCCTCAGCCTACACCTCAAGACGCGTTATCAACTGCGCTTAAAGCGGTATCAAGTTATTTTGATAAGAATTTCCAGCTGGTTCGGCCGTTTATTCTCACCATGCCGCCGTCTCACAACCCGAATATGTTTCGATATGCGGCTACCACATGCGGGCTGTTCGCATCCCCTTTACAAGCTGACGCGATGCGCTACGCAGAGGCTCGGAGCGACGCCACTGGCTGGACAGCAGTGCAACGGCAAGCGTTATCCAAATCGAAAATCAAACTCCTGGATGTGGTACAAATGTCGATGTACCGAGCGGATGGCCACATGGCAGCATACGGACCCCCTCCAGATGCAAGCGAGATGGATTGCGTGAAATGGTGCCTTCCGGGGGTGCCAGACGCGTGGGTCGACGTGTTTTTCCACAAGATTGTACACCCGTTCGGGGGATACGGCCCCGACCCGCTGCTTTCGGATAGCATTTGGAAGAAGCTTGGTAGGAAGCTGCCGTGGCCGAAAAAGGGACGGCCGGGGAAGCCGTTTGGAGAGAAGGTTGGGAGCAGGAATGGGACAAGGTTGGTGGATGGGAGCGGGAGTGGGAGCACCAGCATCGGCGCTGGCAGCAGCAGCAGCAGCAGCAGCTCAGGCAACAGTGCCGGTAGTAGCAGCAGCGGAAGCAAGAGTGCAAGCAGCGAAGTCAGGAAGTCGCTGAACAGGCTCTTTCTGAAGCAGCATGGAGGCAGATAGGCCTTATACGTGCAGCTTGACACATTTGGACTGCGCTGTGAGATATCGCTTAACTGCTTCCTTGTTGCACAAACACAAGTGCTGGTAGCAGCAGAAGCACCTTGCCGGAAGCAAGAGAGTGCAACCAGCAAGGTCACTTGGCTGGTCGATGCAGCATGGATGCAGCTTGGCAATCTACCGTAACACAAGGACAGCCCATTCACGGGCTGCTAACAACACATAAAATAATGATGGCCTGTACACTCTCCATCCATGTAGTGTCCATGTATGCTGTAGGTGGCATGTAGTGACACTAAGGCGCATGTGTGGTAGGAAAATTCGCATATATATACATTACGGCCAAGCTGTGTGCCTTGCACAGCATTACACATGTTCTGATTATGCACATTTCACCTTGATATTAGTTCCTCACGACCCAGTGTCCATATCCTGGTGCATGGACAGCTTCTGGGCAATGGAGATATACCTTTCATTGCAACACTTAACCTCACTAAGAAGCAAACACCTTTCAACCCATATATACATACAGAAGGAAGCAAACGCCATATATACATACAGAAGGATGCAGTTGCCTCTTTCTGAATCTGCACCAGCCAGAGGTTTTAAAAACACCATGCTGTCTCCTGTCGTACAGCAGTTCCATCAGCTCAGTCCTTGGGCGCAGGCACGGGCAGCGGCAGGTGAAAGCCCCCCACAGAGCACACCGGCCACACCACAATCAGGTGGGCGGGCCTCCTGACCCGCAAAGGTAGCGGGTAGAACCGCACTGCCTCCTGTCATACAGCACTTCCATCAGCCCAGCCGACGGGCGCAGGCGCGGGCAGCGGCAGGTGAAAGCCCCCCACAGAGCGCACCAACCACACCACCATCAGGTGGGCGGTTCTACCACCCACCAGGACCTCCTGACCCGCAAAGGCAGGTGGTAGAACCGCACTGCATCCAGCAGTACCTCGGGGTGCTGGTAGGTGGGGAGAAGAGGGTGGGTGGGGTGAGATGGGAGGTGCGGTGACTTAAGAGTCGACTCAAATGCCACACCACCATCAGGTGTAGAACCGCACTGCCTCCTGCCGTACCTAGGGTCCTGGTGGGTGGGGAGAATAGGGTGGGTGGGGTGAGATGGGAGGTGCGGTCACAGATGCGCATGCCACAGATGGGCATGCCACAATGCGCGCTATTGCCGGTAGCAGCAGCGGTGGAAGCAAGAGTTCAAGAAGCAAGGTGCCTGCCTTGAGGGTCTCTGAACTCACTCCTAGCAGGATAGGCTCTTCCGGAGGCAGCACGGAGGAGGACAGGTGATACCGGTTTATAAGAGGTTGTCAGGGTCAGTGACAGTGTGCTTTGCTTATACAGGGTACCTCAGCTCGCATGTGTACCTTGCATAATAGGACCCGTGTACAGGAACTTTCTTAACTGTATCAGTGTCTGTCTGTCTGCCCTGTGAAGAAGCACTAAAGCATTTGTAGCGTCAACCCCATTTCAACACCATCTGACGGGTGTGCTGATTCTGGGGTGCGTCACACTGCCAAAAAAAGAGGAAATGAAGATTAACCATATCAAAGAATTTCACTAGGAACCAAATAGTACATCGCCACCATACAATCAGGTCACATCGGCATACCGTAAAAGGAACACCATTGGGCCTCAGAAGTCAGCGAAAAAAGGCTGATTTGGGTAAAAAAGGCTGAGATTTCAGACCTTTTTTAGAACTGTGGCTGATTATTCAGCGTTTTTTTGTGAAAAAACATGAAAATTTATGTGATTTGTAGTGTAAACTGGCATATAATGGCAGATTTTTCTGTTTTTTAGCATAATTTTTTGTACCAACTCTGATTGGTTCAGCCTAGCTCAAAACCAATCTGAGGCCCTGCACCATTGCCCCTCCTGCGAATCCTTACCCGCACCCCATTCCAACAGCAGCTTGCTGCTACCCTCCCTCATCTTGCTGCTGCTCCATCCTCCGCTGCTCCCAAACCCCACCATCTGCTGCCATCCTCTCCTCTCCTCTCCTCTGCCTCCTCACGACGAAATATGATTGCCCCTCCTCCGAATCCTCACCCGCACCCCGTGCTTTGGTCGGAGGTTCAACCCAGATTCCAGCGGCAACTTGCTGCTGTCTATCCCTCTCCCGCTTCACAATGGAATACCATTGCCTCTCCTTCGAATTCTCACCCGCACACCATCTTTCGGCCGAAGGTTCAGCCCAGATTACAAAGGCAGCTTGCTGCTATCCTCCCTTGTCTTGCTGCTTGCACTCTGTCTGATGCCCTCCTCTCCTCTGCCGTCTTTCGGCCAAAGGTTCAACCCAGATTCCAAAGGCAACTTGCTGCTATCCACCCTTGTCTTGCTGCTCGCACTGCCCCATTTGCTTCCCTCCTCCGCATCCTCACTCCCTCCCCGTTTCCTTCCCCTTTCTTCAGCGTCAGTCTCACTTGCGTTGAGACGTCTGGAAGCATATGGGGTGTCAGATACTGATGTGATGTCAAATACCCGCAGCAGCAGCGCAAGGCAGAGCTTGATTTCCATCATTGCGAATCGTGCCCCGATGCACATGCGGGGACCGGCACCGAAAGGCAAATACATGGCTTCTGACTCGGCCGTCCACAGCACCTCCTCGTGTTCCTTTCCTTCTCCTCTCTCTTCACTCTTGATCGATTCTGCACCCTCCTCGCCCCTTCCTTCCCCCACTTGCCCTTCTGCCTCCTCTTCCCTCCCTCCCTCCTTCCACCCAACTCCCTTCTCACCTGCTGCCCGCTGACCGAAACGTTCGGGCAGAAAAGAAAGCGGCCGGGGGAAGAAATCCGGGCAGCGGTGGGCAGCGAAAATCGGGACCACAACGGGTGTATTCGCAGGGATGTGGTAACCAGCCAGAGTCGTTGCATGGACGGGCAGCCGGGCAGCTATAGGGGCAGCAGGGTACAGCCTAAGTGTTTCTTTTACAACCATATCAAGATACTTAAGCACTTCTAAGCCTTTAAATAAAGACCTATTTTTAAAAACAGGGGGTGAGTCATCGAACCTTCTTCGCCCAATCTCCCCTGGCCCCCTCTCCCCCTTCCCCTCTCCCTCCTCTCCCTCCTCTTCCCCCTCCCCCTCTCCCTCCCCCTCTTCCTCCCCTTTCCCCTCCCCTTTTACCTCTCCCGCCTGCTCCCTTTCCTCGAAGTACCTGTCGATTTCAGCCTGAAGCTTCCGTGAAACGTCCGGGTGCTGAGTCAGCATGTGGACGGCAAATGCCAGCGTGGACGATGTGGTCCCCACTCCGGCGCCCAGGAGGCCAAAGAGAATCAGAGGCAGGTCAGAATCGGCCAGTCTTGCTCCTGTGCCCTTGTCTCGGAAGCTGGAAGGCAGAGGGGAGGGGAGGGGGTCCGGGGGACAATCAGAGTAAAGCCAGGGTGGATGATGTGGTTCCACTCCCGCGCCCAGGAGGCCACATGGATCAGAGGGAAGTCGGATGCAATCCTGCCCCTGTGCCTTTCTCTTGGAAGCTGGGAGGCAGAGGGGAGGGGAGGGGGTCCGGGGGACAATGAGAGTAAAGCCAGGGTGGACGATGTGGTTTCCACTCCGGCACCCAGGAGGCCAAAGAGGACCAGAGGGAAGTCAGACTCGTGCAGACCTGTGGTAATCACTTTTGAGAATTCTCAAAAGAGGATCAGAGGGAAGTCAGACTCGTGCAGACCGGCGGAAATCACTTTTGAGAATTCTCAAAAGAGGATCAGAGGGAAGTCAGACTTGTGCAGACCGGCGGAAATCACTTTTGAGAATTCTCAAAAGAGGATCAGAGGGAAGTCAGACTAGTGCAGACCGGCGGAAATCACTTTTGAGAATTCTCAAAAGAGGATCAGAGGGAAGTCAGACTTAGGGATGAGCAGAGGGCGAACTCGAACACGTTCGGGTTCGCCCCCCCTCGAACAGGGCCATTTCCCGAACCGAACACTGTTCGGTTCGGCGAACTAATTGGCCTACGGCAGGTGTTCGCCGTTCGCCCCAGGGGGCGAACATTTTGTTTCTGAGGGCGAACTCGAACATGTTCGAGTTCGCCCAGGGGGAACTTCGTTATAGTCACAGTGGTCAGACAGGGGATTTGGAGGGTCGGGTAGATAGATAGGGGTGTGGAGGGTGTCTCTGTGTTCATGCAACGCACAAAAGCATACGAAGGCATCATGTTCTGTGAATGTAAAAGTCAAGTCAATGTCAAATAAAATCCTACGACTGAACTCCACTGCTACTACCAACAACAGCCTGCTCCCCGCCAGCGGTGTCGCCAGCACCCACCCCCTCCTGCTCCTCCTCCCACTCCTCCTCCCCCTCCTCCTCCTCCTCGTCGTCCTCCTCCTCCCCCTCGCCTTCAATGGCGAACTCTGGCGGTGCGACGCCCTTTGCACGGCGGCCCTCGCCTATCCTCTGTCCAGGGTGTGATCTGTACCATGATTTGAGAATCATGACAGCTCGCGTCCTCTGAGAGGCCAGGCGGTGCCGCTTCCAGGAAATGAGGTTGCGGCCGAGGGAGAACACGCGCTCGCTCGAAGTGGACGTGGCAGGGATGGCGAGATAATCCCGGGCCATGCGCCTCAGCGTCTGCATGTTGGTGGCGGTGCGCCAATACTCCAGCGCTGACACGTCGCACCGCACCCTCTCAGATAAGTACCTGCTAACCTCGTCATCCTGCACCATCCCACCCCTCCCCGCCTCCTGGCTCGCTGACAGACGCGCCGCTAGTCGTCGGCGACTCGGGAGAAACTGCGCGTCTTCGTCGTCATCCGCCGCGTCCCCCTCCTCCTCCTCCGTCACAGTGGCAAGTGGGGTCGGCCGAGGTGCAAGCGCTGCAGCCCGGGCCTGGTACTCGGTCACGCGGTCGCGTACCAGCTGGATCACCTCGCCTGACGTGGGACGCGGCCTCGCCCTCCGGTCGGTCTCGGGATGCAGCGTCTCCCAGTGCGGGTCGTCGAACCACGCCGCCTTCATGGAAGGGTCCAGGAAGGTGGCGATCCACAACTCGTTGCTGGACATCAGTTCATACTTCTTCAAGAGACCCAGCGCTGCCTCAATCATCGGCTTCAGCGTAGCCGATGGCCCCTTGGCAAGGCGCGACTCCATAGCGTCGATCAGGCCGTTGTAGTACGGCAGCACCATCGCCACTGTAGGGTACGCCGCACCCTCCGCCGCCTTTGAGACTTTTGCGAATGGGCTGAGGAACGTCTTGACAGCATGCAGAGTCTCCCAGTCTGCGTCCGTTAGGCGCAGGCTATCCACCTTCGCCTTGTCAGCCTTCGCCTTGTCAGCCTTCGACAGTCCCTGTCGGGTAGAGGGTAGGGGTTGGCGGGTGTTAAGATGGAAAGTAGGGTTATTGAGGTTGTTGGGGTCCAATAACATACATAAAGCATGGCCAACAGTGGTGGACGTGATAGAACTCAACACCCCACGACATACCCACACATTAGACTGCTGCCCGCATGCACAACACCTGTCACACACACCTTTGTCTGGGCAAAGAAGACAGTGATGGGTTCCTGCAGAACCCCAGCTCGCTCGACCATGTCGTGGGTCGACCCCCAGCGCGTGGGACTGTCCTGCACCAGCTTCAACGCCGGCTTCGGTTTGGCGGGGTTGGCCTGCGCGTTCAGGGTCCGCTGAAGGCCCAAGAACTTCCCTGAGCGCTGCGGAGAGAAGCCAATCCACGACGCCATCTCTCTCAGAATCCGCAACAACTTGCGGATGGCAGCCACTGCGAGAGCTGCCTTCACTGCAAGGTTGATCACGTGTGCCAAGCACCTGCGCACGGCACACAATATTAATGGCGGAGAGAAGGGGGAGTGTGAGTACACCTGGGCATAGCGAGCCACAAACGCATACCAAGCCCCACACACCCTACAACTCAAACCGCTAGGGCCCACCCACTCATACAACCAGAAGTTGTTCACGCGGGAACGACACACCCAAACTCCCACATAGCCAGCCCACGCACACTCCCATACTTACCGGAAGTGCATGCGCGAGTTGAAGAAGCACTGACCACCTCCCTCCTCCGACATCCACCTGAATGCAGCAACGTTGCTAGAGGCGTTGTCTGAGGTGAAACCAAGACAGCGCCCTTCCAACCCCCAATGCACCACCGTCTCCTCTACCACCCTCGCCATCTGCTTGCCCGTGTGCCGCCCGTGAATCTCGCGGAACTCAAACACCATTGTGCGCAGCTGGAAGTTCTCGTCTACCCAGTGACCAGTCACCACTAGCCATGCCCTGTTGTTGGGTGCCGTCCACATGTCGATGGTGAACGACACCCTGCACCCCAACTCCCCCTCCTTCGCCAGCATCTCCGCAATGGCTGACTGGAGTGCGGCAGCTGCATAGACCACAGTGTCGCGGGAAACCGTCCAGCGCGAGGGGATGAAGTTCTTCTGCGCGCAGTTGCGGTTTAGGAGGATCAAAAGCTCCCGAAACTGGTGACGGGTAAAGACACCGAGGGTGAGGGGAGTCAACGTATGGGGGATGGGTTTGACATAATATGGCGCAGGGCCACACGCTAATGATCAAAACACAACGGCCAGACACTTCCACTGTCCACATACTGCCAATCATGCTTGGGATGGGGCACTCACAGCCTCGGCCTCGACGATGCGGAAGGGGAGGTCGCAGGTGACCACGAGCTTGGCGATCGCCTGCCGTAGCTCCACAGAGGTCAGCTTGGTTGTCATGAACCGCTCGATCCCGCCTGACCCCTGACCTCCACCAAACGCCTTCCCTTTCTGCTTGGCCAGGTGCGGCCAAGTCTTGGCATGCGGCCACCGTTCGACGTAGCCATCCGGCACACCCTTGTAGCCCCCACGCGGAAACGTCTCCCCTGGCAACTGAATGGACGGCGTGTGGTAACGGTGAAACCACACGTGCATGTGCGCGGTGTGAAAGCTCGCGAAGTGCCGCTCGCCGGGTGTGGTTGTGGATTGCTTCCACGAAATCCTGTCTGTGCAAATTTTGCACGGGCGCTTCTCGTCTGCCCCTTTCGGTCCGAACATCATAACTTGCCACCCCGGTTTCTTACTCCCCTTGCCAGTCCCCTTACTACTCTCTGACCCTCCGTCCTCGTCTAGGAACTCCGGAGCGATCACACCATCCCCCAAGGGCTCCCCAGTGAACGTGGCGGGATACGCCCGCTCCCTCACTTTGTTGGCCTTCTTCCTAACCCTCGGACCCGCCAAGGACGCGGGCTTTCTCCCCACCTTAACCCCCACGCTCCCTCCACCTTCAGCCACATGCTGTGATCCCGCCTCTGTCGCCGCCCCTACTCCACCCCCCTCTCCCACCTCCTCCCCCACCGCCTCCTGCACCTCTTCTGGCTCTAAATCATCCATCTCATGATCCTCATCATCATCCCTCCCTTCCCCACCACCATGCTTCTCGGGATCCCACCCCTCCTCACTGTCATCCCCGCTCCCCTCATTCTCCTCACCCTCCTCGCCCTCACCCGCCTCATCCTCATCCTCCTCCTCACTGACACTCTCTGGCAGCGTCTGCCCCGAAGGAGGGGGTCGAGGGCCGTCGTAACGGAAAGACTGACGAGATGTCGGCGCCGCAACGGAAAGAAACCCCCCAATGAAGCAAGCGCCGGCTCCTCCAGGTCCATCCCCTACTCGCCCCTACATAGGTCGTGGTGGAGAACCTGGTGCGCCGCCCCGAGTGCTGCCTGCACCTAACCCTACGGATCTACCATGTCCGGAAGCCATAAGTCCACCCTCGGCCCTAAAACCCTAAACCCCCCCCGAACCAACGGTCACGTGCCGAGTAGAACCACGGTCCTAAACGTTTTCGAGCACGAATAGCTTTCTGAAATGCCCGTCCCCAACCCTACGGAGTTGACAACGCGCTCTCTGATCGTGGTGCTACTCTACCTTATAATCACCCTACACACACTTGGCTCTAGGAAAACCGTAGAGCTAATGTGCGTGGATATTAGTAGTGGTAGTAACTGCATGTATGCTACAAGTTGTAGGGCTAGGGCGGGTGTAAGAGGGAACCCTAGGCTAGGCTGTAAAAGCGTTCTGAGGTTGAGCTCACGAAATGAGCTCAACCTCGAATTGGCCGCGACCTAAATCTGGTCGCGGCCAAATTCGATGCGAACACATTTGGGGTTCGCGTCACCCCCATTTCGAACACGAACATGTTCGTGTTCGACTTGGGGGCCCCAGATGACGGAGCCGAACGGCGAACATGTTCGGCCGAACACCGAACATGTTCGCCCCGAACAATTTGGCAAAAAAATAAATGCCTGTTCGGTTCGCCTCGAACATGTTAACATGTTCGAGGCGAACCGAACAGGCGTTCGGGATTTTGCTCATCCCTAGTCAGACTAGTGCAGACCAGCGGAAATCACTTTTGAGAATTCTCAAAAGAAGATCAGAGGGAAGTCAGACTAGTGCAGACCGGCGGAAATCACTTTTGAGAATTCTCAAAAGAGGATCAGAGAGAAGTCAGACTAGTGCAGACCGGCGGAAATCACTTTTGAGAATTCTCAAAAGAGGATCAGAGGGAAGTCAGACTTGTGCAGACCGGCGGAAATCACTTTTGAGAATTCTCAAAAGAGGATCAGAGGGAAGTCAGACTTGTGCAGACCGGCGGAAATCACTTTTGAGAATTCTCAAAAGAGGATCAGAGGGAAGTCAGACTTGTGCAGACCGGCGGAAATCACTTTTGAGAATTCTCAAAAGAGGATCAGAGGGAAGTCAGACTAGTGCAGACCGGCGGAAATCACTTTTGAGAATTCTCAAAAGAGGATCAGAGGGAAGTCAGACAAGTGCAGACCGGCGGAAATCACTTTTGAGAATTCTCAAAAGAGGATCAGAGGGAAGTCAGACAAGTGCAGACCGGCGGAAATCACTTTTGAGAATTCTCAAAAGAGGATCAGAGGGAAGTCAGACAAGTGCAGACCGGCGGAAATCACTTTTGAGAATTCTCAAAAGAGGATCAGAGGGAAGTCAGACAAGTGCAGACCGGCGGAAATCACTTTTGAGAATTCTCAAAAGAGGATCAGAGGGAAGTCAGACTAGTGCAGACCGGCGGAAATCACTTTTGAGAATTCTCAAAAGAGGATCAGAGGGAAGTCAGACTAGTGCAGACCGGCAGAAATCACTTTTGAGAATTCTCAAAAGAGGATCAGAGGGAAGTCAGACTAGTGCAGACCGGCGGAAATCACTTTTGAGAATTCTCAAAAGAGGATCAGAGGGAAGTCAGACAAGTGCAGACCGGCGGAAATCACTTTTGAGAATTCTCAAAAGAGGATCAGAGGGAAGTCAGACAAGTGCAGACCGGCGGAAATCACTTTTGAGAATTCTCAAAAGAGGATCAGAGGGAAGTCAGACAAGTGCAGACCGGCGGAAATCACTTTTGAGAATTCTCAAAAGAGGATCAGAGGGAAGTCAGACAAGTGCAGACCGGCGGAAATCACTTTTGAGAATTCTCAAAAGAGGATCAGAGGGAAGTCAGACTAGTGCAGACCGGCGGAAATCACTTTTGAGAATTCTCAAAAGAGGATCAGAGGGAAGTCAGACTAGTGCAGACCGGCGGAAATCACTTTTGAGAATTCTCAAAAGAGGATCAGAGGGAAGTCAGACTAGTGCAGACCGGCGGAAATCACTTTTGAGAATTCTCAAAAGAGGATCAGAGGGAAGTCAGACTAGTGCAGACCGGCGGAAATCACTTTTGAGAATTCTCAAAAGAGGATCAGAGGGAAGTCAGACTAGTGCAGACCGGCGGAAATCACTTTTGAGAATTCTCAAAAGAGGATCAGAGGGAAGTCAGACTAGTGCAGACCGGCGGAAATCACTTTTGAGAATTCTCAAAAGAGGATCAGAGGGAAGTCAGACTAGTGCAGACCGGCGGAAATCACTTTTGAGAATTCTCAAAAGAGGATCAGAGGGAAGTCAGACTAGTGCAGACCGGCGGAAATCACTTTTGAGAATTCTCAAAAGAGGATCAGAGGGAAGTCAGACTAGTGCAGACCGGCGGAAATCACTTTTGAGAATTCTCAAAAGAGGATCAGAGGGAAGTCAGACTAGTGCAGACCGGCGGAAATCACTTTTGAGAATTCTCAAAAGAGGATCAGAGGGAAGTCAGACTAGTGCAGACCGGCGGAAATCACTTTTGAGAATTCTCAAAAGAGGATCAGAGGGAAGTCAGACAAGTGCAGACCGGCGGAAATCACTTTTGAGAATTCTCAAAAGAGGATCAGAGGGAAGTCAGACAAGTGCAGACCGGCGGAAATCACTTTTGAGAATTCTCAAAAGAGGATCAGAGGGAAGTCAGACTAGTGCAGACCGGCGGAAATCACTTTTGAGAATTCTCAAAAGAGGATCAGAGGGAAGTCAGACTAGTGCAGACCGGCGGAAATCACTTTTGAGAATTCTCAAAAGAGGATCAGAGGGAAGTCAGACTAGTGCAGACCGGCGGAAATCACTTTTGAGAATTCTCAAAAGAGGATCAGAGGGAAGTCAGACTAGTGCAGACCGGCGGAAATCACTTTTGAGAATTCTCAAAAGAGGATCAGAGGGAAGTCAGAGTAGTGCAGACCGGCGGAAATCACTTTTGAGAATTCTCAAAAGAGGATCAGAGGGAAGTCAGAGTAGTGCAGACCGGCGGAAATCACTTTTGAGAATTCTCAAAAGAGGATCAGGGGGAAGTCAGAGTAGTGCAGACCGGCGGAAATCACTTTTGAGAATTCTCAAAAGTGGATCAGAGGGAAGTCAGAGTAGTGCAGACCGACGGAAATCACTTCTGAGAATTCTCAAAAGAGGATCAGGGGGAAGTCAGACTAGTGCAGACCGGCGGAAATCACTTTTGAGAATTCTCAAAAGTGGATCAGAGGGAAGTCAGACTAGTGCAGACCGGCGGAAATCACTTTTGAGAATTCTCAAAAGAGGATCAGAGGGAAGTCAGACTAGTGCAGACCGGCGGAAATCACTTTTGAGAATTGTCAAAAGAGGATCAGAGGGAAGTCAGACTAGTGCAGACCGGCGGAAATCACTTTTGAGAATTGTCAAAAGAGGATCAGAGGGAAGTCAGACTAGTGCAGACCGGCGGAAATCACTTTTGAGAATTCTCAAAAGAGGATCAGAGGGAAGTCAGACTAGTGCAGACCGGCGGAAATCACTTTTGAGAATTCTCAAAAGAGGATCAGAGGGAAGTCAGACTAGTGCAGACCGGCGGAAATCACTTTTGAGAATTGTCAAAAGAGGATCAGAGGGAAGTCAGACTAGTGCAGACCGGCGGAAATCACTTTTGAGAATTGTCAAAAGAGGATCAGAGGGAAGTCAGACTAGTGCAGACCGGCGGAAATCACTTTTGAGAATTGTCAAAAGAGGATCAGAGGGAAGTCAGACTAGTGCAGACCGGCGGAAATCACTTTTGAGAATTCTCAAAAGAGGATCAGAGGGAAGTCAGACTAGTGCAGACCGGCGGAAATCACTTTTGAGAATTCTCAAAAGAGGATCAGAGGGAAGTCAGACTAGTGCAGACCGGCGGAAATCACTTTTGAGAATTCTCAAAAGAGGATCAGAGGGAAGTCAGACTAGTGCAGACCGGCGGAAATCACTTTTGAGAATTCTCAAAAGAGGATCAGAGGGAAGTCAGACTAGTGCAGACCGGCGGAAATCACTTTTGAGAATTCTCAAAAGAGGATCAGAGGGAAGTCAGACTAGTGCAGACCGGCGGAAATCACTTTTGAGAATTCTCAAAAGAGGATCAGAGGGAAGTCAGACTAGTGCAGACCGGCGGAAATCACTTTTGAGAATTCTCAAAAGAGGATCAGAGGGAAGTCAGACTAGTGCAGACCGGCGGAAATCACTTTTGAGAATTCTCAAAAGAGGATCAGAGGGAAGTCAGACTAGTGCAGACCGGCGGAAATCACTTTTGAGAATTCTCAAAAGAGGATCAGAGGGAAGTCAGACTAGTGCAGACCGGCGGAAATCACTTTTGAGAATTCTCAAAAGAGGATCAGAGGGAAGTCAGACTAGTGCAGACCGGCGGAAATCACTTTTGAGAATTCTCAAAAGAGGATCAGAGGGAAGTCAGACTAGTGCAAACCGGCGGAAATCACTTTTGAGAATTCTCAAAAGAGGATCAGAGGGAAGTCAGACAAGTGCAGACCGGCGGAAATCACTTTTGAGAATTCTCAAAAGAGGATCAGAGGGAAGTCAGACAAGTGCAGACCGGCGGAAATCACTTTTGAGAATTCTCAAAAGAGGATCAGAGGGAAGTCAGACTAGTGCAGACCGGCGGAAATCACTTTTGAGAATTCTCAAAAGAGGATCAGAGGGAAGTCAGACTAGTGCAGACCGGCGGAAATCACTTTTGAGAATTCTCAAAAGAGGATCAGAGGGAAGTCAGACTAGTGCAGACCGGCGGAAATCACTTTTGAGAATTCTCAAAAGAGGATCAGAGGGAAGTCAGACTAGTGCAGACCGGCGGAAATCACTTTTGAGAATTCTCAAAAGAGGATCAGAGGGAAGTCAGACTAGTGCAGACCGGCGGAAATCACTTTTGAGAATTCTCAAAAGAGGATCAGAGGGAAGTCAGACTAGTGCAGACCGGCGGAAATCACTTTTGAGAATTCTCAAAAGAGGATCAGAGGGAAGTCAGACTAGTGCAGACCGGCGGAAATCACTTTTGAGAATTCTCAAAAGAGGATCAGAGGGAAGTCAGACTAGTGCAGACCGGCGG